GAGAGAGAGAGAGAGAGAGAGAGAGAGAGAGAGAGAGAGAGAGAGAGAGAGAGAGAGAGAGAGAGAGAGAGAAAGAGAAATGGCAGGATAGGCATACTGCATAGCCCAAAAATAGCCAGCAACACAGAAATACTCACTTGGCTAAGTCCGAGGCATCCGTGAGTAAATTTTGCCGCAGAGATAACTTTTGCAGGTTTGGAAGTTCACCCAAAACAGGTTCAATTGATGAAAGGCGATTTCTGGTCAAGTCCAACTCCGTCAGCGTTGGACTGAGTGGGATCCTCACAAGGGATACCAGCTGATTGCCCGTCAAGTCAAGCAATCCGTCTTCATCCTCCCCCCCTTCCGTCTTCATCTCCTCCCCTTCTGCTTCTTCCTTGTCACCATCCAGACCAACTACCTTCCCATCGCGGTTTCCAGACTCTTCCGCCATCTCGTCGTTACCCTCACTTGCGCCACTCATCTCTCCAATAACCCCCTCCCTCCCTCCCTCCCTCCCTCCCTTCCCCTTTTTCAAACAGCCTTGACAGATCTAGCGATCAAATCCAACTGTGAAAGCTCCTCTCTCCCTGCCTCCCTCCCTCCCACTGACCTTTTCCTCATCACAGGATCTAGCTGATCACCTGAACTCTTTTTCAGTTTTAATTTTTATTTTACTTGTTTTATAACCCCAGGAATTCTCGAAAAGACTTACTTATAATGAATTCTTTGAGTCATTTATTATACTTTTTACTCACTCGAACTTTCCGATCTGACATCCTCATCAAACTTTCTTTAAAAATGTGCAGGCTTACCTAAGATAGTATGCAAATTTTCCCTTAAACGTTTGACCTCGACGATTGTACGCCTAGGATCTATTTGAGCAGGGATGGACGACGACCTTTTTAGGAAAGTTTGAAAAGACCTGGAAAGCAGCACCAGCATGATAATTTGATAAAACACAACGCATCAGAAAATGAAATTGCGCAACCGTTTTAGGAAAGTTTGTACCAGCCCGATAAAACCCCATCAAGGAAGGAGAATTTACAGTTAAAGACCCCAAGGCATCCAAAACAAAAAACCAAGATCCAAAAACTTGACGCAACCGATGCTGACGACCCCAGGGAGGCCCAACCTCCACAGCACTACCTGAGCCATTAGATTGACGATTTGTACGCAAGCTATCAAGCAATCAAACTGTCGGTGCTCTCACTAACAGGATGGCATCCACTTCTCCCAACCAACACGAGCAATCAGCTCAACTGTTTCCAGTAGATTAGCATCTCTGTTATTCACTCCTCTTCATCCTCCCTTCCCCTCCCCTCCTCATCCTTCTCTTCCTCCTCCTCCTACTATGACAACTACTACTACTGACGCTGCTTCCCTTCCTGCTCCTTGTCTCCCTCCTCTTCTCCTCTTCCCGCTCCTCCTCCAACTCCACACAAACGGTCCTCCTCCTCCTCCTCCACAGAAACTCTCCTCCTCCTCAACACAAAATCTTCTCCTCCTCCTCCTTCTCCACAGAATCTTCTCCTCCCCACACACTCCTACTACTACTATTACTATCACTACTACTACTACTACTACTACTACTACTACTACTACTACTACTACTACTACTACTACTGTTGCTACCGGCACTTCTTCCGTTCGTGCCCCTACTGTTCTCAGACCTCTTCCAACTCTTCCAGCCCCCCCTCTTCCTCGCCGAATAGCCACAAACACTCCTTTAAGCAATTACAAGACTTCCACAAGAAGGTACTGATACGCGATTAGCCGCCAGAGACCCAAAACTGGTCTTGCCTGCAAAACAAAGCAGGAGCCAAAGCCATCCATCAGGGTGACCACACATGCAACCAACAACAGGTTGTGCGATACAGAGCGAACAAGTAAAAACCTTAAAAAGACACTCCACAACCTGTCTGCCAAACAACCACCACGCTAAATGAAGCGTCGTCGGGGACGCACAGGAACTACACCGCCCTGACAATCAGTACCACCTCCCCAGTCTAAACCAGGTCCTGCCGGCCAAGGTCTCTTGCGCGCGACACCTTGCATAACTTGTTCCCAGTTCCATACCAAGTTAGTACCAGGTCGGTACCAGGTCATGGGTACCGGGTCACGGGTACCATGTCATGGGTACCAGGTTATGGATACCATGTCCCGGGTGTCAACTCATTACCAGCTCAGTTCCAGGTCAGTAACAGGGTCAGTACGAGATTATGGGCACCACCATGTCAAGGGGACCAGATCATGGGTCCGGGTCACAGGCACCACGTCAAGTGTACCAGGTCGGCTGCAGGTCAGCACTAGGTTATCGATACCAGGTCAAGGTTACCAGGTCAGTTCCAGGTCATGGACGTGGCACACATGGCTTCGGCGAATTTTGCACCGAAACTGTCACATTGTGCTGATTTTTTGTTTTTCTTTCTTGTTTTTCTTTTTGTGTGACATATATGTGCTTTAGGGTACGTCATGAGTCCAGTTTTTACATGTTTGGATCAATAAAATAATGAAAAAAGTTGGCATTTAGTTGGATTCGTTCAACGAACGCTTCATTTTTACTCGGCAAGTGTTTTCTGTGTTAGGGTTGTGTTTTTTGCTTCGTTTTCTTTGGCCTGTCTGTTTTTGTTTTTGTTTTTATGCTTGCACTATGGGCCCATGCAGTTTGTTTTTAAATTTTCCGCTGAATTTCGCACCGCAACGGACGGCGAAAACAGCGAATTTTCGGCCCTTTGTTAACCGCATGTCGGTCATGGGTGGTGTTCATGGGTACCAAATCATGGGTACCAGGTCAAGAGGTCATGGGTACCAGGGCATGGGTACCAGGGCATGGGAGCAGGTCAAGATTACCAGGTCATGGGTACCAGGTCATGGGTTCCAGGTCATGGGTACCAGGTCATGGATGCCAGGTCATGGGACTAGGTCATGGGTACCAGGTCGAGAGTATCAGGTCATGGGTACCAGGGCATGGGTACCAGGGCATGGGAGCAGGTCACGAGTACCAGATCATGGGTACAAGGTCATGGGTTCCAGGTCATGGGTACCAGGTCATGGGTACCAGGTCATGGGTACCAGGTCATGGGACTAGGTCAGGGGTACCAGGTCAAGAGTATAAGGTCATGGGTACCAGGTCATGGGTACCAGGTCATGGATGCCAGGTCATGGGACTAGGTCATGGGTACCAGGTCAAGTGTAGCAGGTCATTGGTACCAGGTCATGGGTACCAGGTCAAGGGTACCAGGTCATGGGACTAGGTCATGGGTACCAGGTCATGACAGTAGCATGGAAAGTTGGATGCTGGAGGACAGCCGCAGATGAAACATCCGACGGTGGACAACCCCCACGTATACAGCCCGCATCCCATAAGCATTAGTAAGGGGAGAGACTTCGTGTTCTCTGGATATTTGTTGAAGTCTCTTATGGTAGACTCAGATACGCTATTGTGAAATGCAGGCGAGATGAGGAAGGGCGGAGGGGCAGACAAAATAAAAGCGACTATCCCTATTGACCTATGTTGACCTATGTCTTAAACACTTCTTCCTGTCTGGCCTTATTTTGAGTACTGGGATCACCCAACGCTATGCTCTAGTCTCATCATCACGATGAGAAACCCTAAACCCCAAACTGGAACTGGCCATAACGAGAAACCCTAAACCCCACACTGGCCATAATAGGAAACTCAAAACCTCAAACTGGCAAATTCCTTTTCCCGCGGTTTTTTCACTCAATAATTGGTTTACCCGCCCTTTTTCAACACAATTCCTCTTACGGCCTTTTTTCAGTCAATTTCTTTTTCCCGCCTTTTACACTCAATTCCTTTTTCCCGCCTCTTTCACTGCCACTTTTTCACTCACTTCTTTTTCCCGCCTTTTTGCACTCGTTTGCTTTTCGCAAAAAACAATTCACTCAATTTCTATTTTCCCGCCGTTTTCACTCAATTCCCCCACATTGACCATAAAAGGCAACTCTAAACATCAAACAGACAAATCCTTTTCCCGCGATTTTTTAACTTAATTCGTTCTCCCGCCTCTTTTTACTTGTTTCCTTTCCCCGCCCTTTTTCGACACAATTCCTTTTACAGCCTTTTTTCACTAAGTTTCCTTTTATTTTTTATTTTTATTTTTATTTTTTTGGACCATTTCTCGATTTATGCGTGTCATCCTTGCGCAGGGGCCGTTTTGCTAATAACCCTTCTCCGTATCGTTCCAATTTTAACGGATGTCCGAAGGACCAATTTCCTTTTAACTTTTCGTTCACCCGCCTCTTTTTTTTACTTCCTTTCCCCTGCCTTTTTTGACCCAATTCCTTTTGCAGCCTTTTTTCACTAAATTTCCTTTTCCTGCCTTTTCCACTCAATTCCTTTTTTTGGAATTTTTTTTCACTCCAACTTTTTCACTCACTTCCTTTTCCCGCTTTTTCTCACTCGATTGCTTGCGCTTTTTTTTTTTCCACTCAATTCCATCTTCCCAGCTTTTTCACTGAAATCCTAAACTACCCACTCGCCCGGGGCCCTGCCGTTCATCCAAATGTACATGAATTTGGTCATCCGTAAAAATATCGGATGTCCGTAAGACTAACAATTAATGCCAGTGCGGCTACGCCCCCACACATGAAAATGTCAATGAGATATTCGGGGTCTACATAAGTATCGATCTACAGATCTCATGGTCTTTAATGCTCTCTCTCTCTCTCTCTCTCTCTCTCTCTCTCTCTCTCTCTCTCTCTCTCTCTCTCTCTCTCTCTCTCTCTCTC